GTGGTTTATCCCCAAACTCTGCCCAATAAGGGAAGCTTTGAATGTCATGGTGGAAGACCCACTGTTAGAGAAACAAATGCTAGGTACACCCCACCAAAAGTGCTCAGCAGAGCCCAGATCTGGCTCTACTTGAGCAACACTGGACTGTTGTTTCAGTTCTCCAGTGTGGAAACACAGTCAGCAGGGACTTCAAGGAAGCTTTAATGGCTCCCTACCACTTGACTTCTTGAACATCCTATCCTAAGCACTGTTTTTTTCTTTTAAAAAAAAAAGGCATCCATGTGTCTCTTCCTTATAAAAAATCACCCAACACTTTCACGGTGAGCTAGCTGAAATTGTCATCCACTTCAATTCAGCTATAGAAGTTCTGCTTCTGAAATTCCAACTATCACATTATATTGTCCATGTTTTCATTCAAGCCTATGTCTTTTCTCCTCCACAGGGCCATCAGTGGCCCCTTAGCAGATGGTTATTTTCCTGTGAGCTACGTACTTGTCAGTGAGTCTCCATCCCTCCTGAAGGATCCCTATCTGGGCATCTCCCTCCAAGTGCCATGTAAGCAAGACATGGTTGGCTGGTACTACGACTATCTTGTTCTGCTTGTAAGTTCCATAACCATTTTTAGTAATGCTGCCACAATCTCAGCTTATACTGCACTGTGTCCAATTAAAGCATCTAGGCATTTTTCTCGTGTAAATCACAATGTCTTATGTAATGTCTGTACTTATGTAATAGATTTTTAAATCTAAATGCTGATATGTACATTTTATAATATATTTATCTGTTGGACTTCAACTCTATCATATCCTGTGTCTGTTATACCTGATAGAAGCTACTCCTCCCAGGTCATAGTCAACTGTGAATTCCCAAAGCCTAAGTGTTTGTTTTTTATCCAAGTTACAAACAGATACACTGAACAGAATCTAATCAAGGAAAGAAAACAATGACACAGCACAGATGTTTTCCTGTAGCCCGGCTCTAAATGTGATGGGCATATTGAGGTACAGCAGCTACAGGAATGACAGGTGCAGCTGCAAGGATCCATGCATTTTCTATTACTTAGAAAAATGTAGAAAAATAATTGACTATGAAATGTAGTCACATATTGTTAAAAGTAACACTTCAGAGTTACAGAGCCCTTTTAGGCATAGCTTTAGGTGGCCATCTTATTTCCAGAAGTTTCCTAGAGTCAGAGAGGCAAAGAGGATGGAATAATCACTTTAAAATAGCCTTTAAACAAGGCAGGGGACATCACAGTCCCAGACTTGAAATTATACTACAAAGCTACTGTAATAAGAACAGCATGATACTGGCAAAAAAAAAAAAAAGAAAAAGAAAACAGACCCAAGGACCAATGAACAAATTAGAAGATTCAGAAACAACTCCAGACATACTCAGCCACCATATCTTTGACAAAGATCCCCAACATATTCACTAGAAGAAAAATAGCCTCTTTAATAAATTGTGCTAGAAAAATTGGCTTTCCACATGCTGAAAATAAAAATTAGATCCATATCTTTCACCATGCACTAAACTAAAATCAAAATGGATCAAAGATCTAGATATTAAAACAGAAACATTAAATCTGCTGGAAGAGAGAATAGGCAGAACTCTTGAAGACGCTGGTGTAGGTGAAGACTTTAAGAACAAAACCCTGAGTGCACAGTAACTACCTCAAAGCACTGACAACTGTGATCTCATTTTATTAAAAAGCTTTTGTACAGCAAAAGCAATTACCAACGGAGTGGAGAGGCAACCCACAGTGTGGGCAAAAACTTTTGCCAGCTGTTCCTCAGACAAAGGATTACTACCTAGAATATGTAAAGAACTCAAAAAAATCAGACCTCCTCAAAGGTGAAGACCCAATCCAAAAATGGACCTTGGAAATGAATAGACACTTCTCAGATGAAAAAACTGAAGTTGAAAGTAAATACATGAAAAAAATGCTCAACATCATTGTTCATTCATGAAATATAAATTAAAACAATGATGAGATTCCTTCTCACCCCAGGAAGAGTGGTTATTATCAAGAAATCATCAATAACAAATGCTGGAGAGCCTGTGAGGAAAAAGGAATCCTTCTCCACTATTGGTGGGAGTATAGACTGGTGCAACCATTGTGGAAATCAATGTGGAGATTCCTCAAAAAACTAGGACTACAGGTTCCATTTGCACTTGATCTTAGCCAAAAGGCCAAGAAATGATTACAGGATCCATTCGACCCAGCTACACCCATTCTTGGTATCTTCCCAAAAGGATGAAAAGCATCATACCACAGCAATATATGCACATGCATGTTTATAGTGGCACAGTTTGTAAGAGCTAAATCTTGGAAACAGCCCAAATGCCCAGCAACTGGTAAATGGATAAAGAAGATGTGGTCTTCCTATACAATGGAGTACTACTCTGCCATAAAGAAGGGTAAGCTTGAGACATTTCTAGATAAATAGATGCACCTTGAGCCCATACTCCTAAGTGAAATAAAGCAGACACACATGTGGAAATACCATACTGTTTCCCCGGTGTGAGAAACTGAAAGTTTAAATAAGGACCAAAGTATATAATAGGTATTGTGAAATAGGCAGAAAATATTCAGATGGGGAGAGGAACAAGGGAGGACAGAGGGGAACAGGAAAGAAGGGAAAAGAAAGCAAAGAATGAAAAAATGGAAACAAGCTTTTGTAAATGGGGAGGGGAGGAGGCTAGAAAGCAAGGAAGGGGAAAAAAAAGAAACAAGTTATATCATGTACAGGTACAAATTCTCTATGATGAATGTGATCATTATATATACCTAAAATGTACCCATAAAATAGTAATAATAACTAATGATAATATATGAGCTGCTAAAAATAGCTTTTAAATGTCCTACTCTAAAAAATAGAACCAATTCCAGTCTTAATGTACTTTAAGAGCTATCAGAGCTATCCTGCCTTGGACATCGGAGATAAATAGACACTTCTCAGAGAAGAAATAGAAGTTGAAAATAAATATATGAAAAAATGTTCAACATCATTGCTCATTCATGAGCTATCCTGCCTTGTGGGAAAGAGAAAAGTAGGGGTTATCCTACTAGGGGTGTGAAAACAAGGAGGAAAGGCCAAGTATCTCTTTTGTAAGACTTTTTCCACTAGAGAACCTATGAGGGAAATTACACGCAAGCAAATATGGTGAGTAGATAGAAAGGAAAGCCTAAGATATGAAGCCAAAAAAGAAATACTTTCCATACCACGGATACTAAGCATCAGATTTCACAATCTATCAGAGAACTGAATGTATATGTGCTGCTGAAGTGAGCACTCAAAGGACTAAGTGAAGCCTGGCAAGGGTTTAAGCCTCCTTAAGTTTCTTTTAGGAAACACACAAATGTACATGTGACACATTAAACCCATTTTCTAGCACTGTAGCTCTAAAAATATCACTTTAAAAGATGAATAAATGATATACTAAATGAAAACAGCCATCACTTGGTAGACGTAATTTAAGCAGATGAAACTCGGTTTAGTAAAATTCCCTCAGAAAATAGAGGCAAACACATTAGTTTCCACTGATTTAAATTTTAGTTTTTTCTTCTACAGGCAACAAATGTCCTCTCTCCTTCCCCCTCTCTCCATCTCTGTCTTTCTGCAATACCAGGGCACAAATCCAGGACCTTGAAAGCACTCTCCCACTGAGCTACATTTCCCAGCTCAGTTTACACCACTTTTATTCAAACTTATTGAGAGAAATAATTAAGTCAGCTTACTGAGTGATCCAGGATTCTCTGGGTACCCCAGAACACTGAGACCAAAGACAACATTATTTTGATGCTTGCTAGGGAAAGGACAAGCTGATTTACAGGGAAAATCTCAGGCTGTGTATACTTTAAAGACTATTTTTAGTATAATCAGAAAGCAAAAGTAACCTTTAGAGGAATCCACTGGTGAAAAATCAGGGCGTTTAGCACAAAGACCTATATTTCTGAATATTAATGTTGATATGAATGCTTGTGAGGCCCTAAGCCAGCAACGACTTGTTACAAAAGTAAGACACCATGAAAAGATGGAGGTCTAGTAGCCTTAATAGAGCACAGTACAAGGAGCATCAAACTTGGATTGGTAAAGAACTAGAGGTAGAATATGTGAATTCTTATCCAGATCTCTCAAATGGTGATAATAAAACCTCATCCACAGGATCTGTGCAGAAATCAAGGCACATATATAGACCTGTCTAAGGATTGAATGTTTCTCCTAGTAGATAGTAAGCTTGCTAAAATCAGAATTGAATCTTAGCTTTGATAAAAGTCTCAGACTCACACATTTTGATGACTGTTTGTCTATAAATGAATGACTACTCAGCAACCACACACACAAAAAAATTCTGATTGCATGAACAGCTGAACAAAATAGATTTTATAATATGCAAATGTAAGCTTAAAATAGCTCATGCTAAAATATAAAAATAAATAAAATACAAATGGGCCACGTTCTACGTAAATAACATGCGTAAATACATACAAATGCATACAGTCATGCATTGCTTAATGATAAGGACATGTTTTCAGAAATGTGTCATTAAGCATAGAATGTACTTAACATTACATCATCACCAGAAGATACAACTGCATGTATGATATAAGTGAACATGCGATCTGTCATTGACTAAAATATCAGTATGTGGTACAAGACTTAACAGTTTGATATATTACGTCAGCAGAAAATATAAGTGAACTGTCTGTGATCTTTTAACACAATCGGTCACAATCAAAGCACTGAGATTTGCTGAAATGGAGTGTTTATCTAATTTAGCGTGTTCACTGCAGTGTGCTTCTATTCCTGCTGAATACACTGCCATACACGAGTACTCATTAGCAAATTTTCCTGAATGCAGTTTGAGTTGTTTGCAATGCAAAACACTGTACCCAAAGGCAGTGCCCTCACTTTGACAATTTATATCTATTTGACAATTTATATCAATTTTATAGATGAAAACTCTAGACAGATAATTAAAAGAAGGTGAATTACCTAGGTTTGTAGAGGCAATAGCACAGGTGTTTTGTCTGAACTTTTTTGGCTTGAATGAATATTTTCATACAAGGGTCAAAATACAGGACAGACGTGTAGGCTCTGAAGGACCATGTCTCTGGAAAACTGGAAGAGAAAATATTGAAAGTCACAATGTAGAGGATACAACATTGATTTCCCTTTGAGAATGAAAGATCAGTCTTTATGCTGAAAGCTTTGGAAAATTTTCTTCTAAAGCAAATGATGCCACAAACACCAGGAAGTCTTGCAACACTCATTTCATTAAACAGCCTATAAATACAGATCCTACATAAACTATCCACATTTTGGATACAAATAAACTTTTTCTTGATACCAACTGATGCTAAGTAGGGTTACATCATCAATAGAAAATATACTTTCCATTAAAACAACTGACCAGGAAGCACAAAATCAAGTCAAATAAACAAAACACCCCTCCTGTTCAAACATAAGTAAAAAAATCTAGGCCAGTGGTGGCCGTTTGTGTTATTGAAAGCTCTAAAATGTTTGCATCACCAATCGAGGCTCACATGAATAATAAGCATTTCCAGTAAGTCAAAAACAAAGAAATACAATTTAAAGGTTTCATTTGCTGTTAGGATTATGAAGAGATAAAGCTTTCTTCTGTAAGTGCAGTAAGTACCAAAATAAATACTATAGAAGAAAAAGAGATAAATAAAGGATGGGAAGGCACTAAAGCAAAAGTAGAAATATGTAAATAACCCATGAAGAAAGCTGCCCTTGTGAAACTGCACTCCGTTGGGAAATCACTGCGACCCTGTGTACTAACACCTCGGGAGACATTCTATATTAAAGTTCATCTATGACCTATAAATCCTCTCCAATTAAACAAGAAATTAAGATCAATATAAGCCCAGCCATGCTTAAGCGGTGATACTGTCCTCTTCTAGATTACAGAAAATGCGACTATAGCGGTTTTCAAGGTTCAACAGAAAACAGGGAGCAGTGACCCCGTGATGATTTCACAGTTCTTTCTCAGTGCAGAGACAAAGGTAATGAAAAGGAATCTAAGGCCTGTCTGAGGAGGACCGCTCAACAGGATTATGCCACTACCGGGGGCTAAGTAAGAAAGGACAGAACTCCATGGAATTTTCCAAACTAAAAATGAAGCCATAAGAAATCTGAAGGTTTCTGGGGCTGGGGATTTAGCTCAGCGGCAAAGCGCCTGCCTGGCAAGCGCAAGGTCGTGAGTTCGGTTCCCGGTACCGGAGAAAAACCAAAA